AGTACAATTATCATCAAAGGAATATGATATACATTAAAAGCGAGATTGACAAAAAATGTGCTAAGTTTAGCGTCGAACAAGCCAAGGCTTCGAGATCACGCTCGTAGATAAGTACGTTATCAATCATATGCATAAAACCATTGATACCAGCTTTTTCACCTCCCGGAATTATGCGTGCAACACGGTTACCACGAGGCCAATAAAGTTCGAAAACTGCAAAAAATTATTTCCTGTACCTTAAAAGGCATCATTTTTATACATTTAAAGGATAATGATTTTTGAACTATTTCTAAGAACTTTATTTAAGATAGTAATATAATGATAAGAACTCGTTATGTCAAGCCTAAAAGTTATTACCGAAGTGTTTTCTTTCAATTTTTTATAAGACAACACTACAATATCTTCTTAGACTATTCAAATTGTTTTTTTCTAAGTAAATAATTAGACGAACAACGTCCTCTTCGGCGTATCACCACTTTTTCATCGTTCATCATTACGTAAGTTCGTTCCCTTAGATCAGTGTACATAAGTGCAAGACCTTGAACAATATGTCGTTTAAAGACGTACTGCAATGCTAACCAATGTTTACCATCTGTCATTTTGTACTTCTGTGAAGTTGATACCTGAAGAAGTCAATTTATTTTACAGCAAAATAATAGAACAGTGATAAGAAAAAAAAGAAGGTAAATGAGGAAGATGAATGATGCTTTTTTATTTTTATCATGTCATATCTATAACTTACAATATATTATCTTTTGATAATAAGTATAGAAATAAATTGGAAATACAATGAAAACAAAAGTTAGTGCTATATGATATGATAAGATGTATAAAGATGAAAGATAAAGATTAAAAAAATATGAAACATAGCATGAACAATAACCTTATCCCAAGCTTCATTAGTTGGCACGAAAAATGTAAAATTTTGCTGTGGTGTTAAAACTTGCCACGGATCTAGGGAATACCGCAATTGCAAATTTCGAAGCATCGAATAAGATATCCTGAAGAGATAGCAAGTTTTCTTCTTTACAAGTTCGAATAATCATCTAATTTTTAACACTTACTGAAGCCTGGACTCATTTCGTAAAACTTCATACAGTGTTTGATACGGTATGCCAAGTACGCGATCAATATAATGCACAATACCATTCACGGCTGCTACATTATCCATCATAATTGTTGCACGTACACCAGCACCAATAACATAATAAGCTGAAAATGCAATTAATCTACTGAGCACTTAGTGAATGTTATGCTTATTTGCCGAATGAATATATAAATCACTTACTGATATTATTTCTTGGCCATTCACCTCGAATGAAATATAGCTGATGAATGTTATCCACTGTGTTTACAATTGTTTCATTAGTGATTTCACTACTGGTTAACTCCTTATTGGGAACTATATGAAGTTTAAGGATCTATAATTATAACTTCTGATTGTTTGCAATTTTAAAATATGGGAAAAAAAATTTTTTTTTTTTTATAAAACAAGGCATTTCTGGAGTTTAAAACGGTTTTATGACATAAGGCATTCTAGAATTTGAAATGGCATCACAACAATAGAATAAATTTCTTGTGATATAATTCATATTCAAGGAATGGAAAATAGGTTAAAGTATTTAAAGGCTTGAAACCTTTTCAAGCCAGATCCGATCTCTTAGAAGTCTTCTTTCGATATATTCAGGAATTCGTTCGAATGCTTCATTGTATGGTGCAAAAAATGTCACCATACCACCGGTTGCCGAGAAATAATTGCGAACTATTTGTCCAATCATACTTACATAACGAATTAAAGTTGTGCAACGGCTGTTATCCATAATGAGCTAAAAAAGGAACTATTTTAGGTCGCAAGAATTTAAAAAATATGAAGTTTTTTTTTTGACATAATTAAACTGCTTCGATTCACACAATCGGTAACAGTTTTCATTATCACATTCATGAAGTTTTACATTAATATCCAGCAGTTTTTTGCTTGCTCACTGGTAAATTAATAATTAGAAGTGGCGAGAGAGAAAGATGAAAACGTAGTTTGGTATAATATTTCGAAATTAATTCGGCAAAAATTTGGAAAACTTAAGCATTCTTAACTTTCGAGTAGGAATAAAAGAATTCGAAGCATTGCTCAATTCGATGAGATACTAATGCTTTCACATAATTTGGAAATATTTCGAAATATATTCATAATTAAAACCTCTGCAACTGAAACAATCAGTATAATATTTAAATAACAAATGCTCGAAGCTGTTTTTAAGCATTTAATTTAGACAAATAAAAAACCTATACCATTTTTTTTATTAACTGATGGTTAACCCTCGACATCTGAAACCTCGATGAACTAATCTAGATGCAGTATTTCAAAAAAGAAAATTCTATTTTCAATCTCTTAATTCTTTGTTCTCAATATTTATTTTTAAATTTTTTTAATGCTCTCAATATTTATTCAATATGCTCAATATTTATTTTTTAATTTTTTAAGTAGAAATGAATGGAATGGAAAGAATTTCAAGAGACATTGATATTGGCAATTCTTTTTTTTCCTTGAAATATTTGACTTTTAATCTCGCACTTTCTGCAAGAAAGATTTGTGTATGATTTGAATTTTGCTCAATTTTAGTTATTAACGTGATGAATACATTGTAATTACAATAAATTATTATTTCTTCACAGCTCTCATACTGTCAAATTATGCGTCTCATAAAATTATGTCGTCATTTAGTTTAACTTTCATTTCAATTTTGAATTATAGACTTTTATTTGAATTATGAATTATTATGAGTTATAGATTATGAGACAACTCATTTAATATTTGAAATGTAACAAAAAAAAAGTTAGACCTGATCGATAGTATTGGTAACAATGCCAAGAACATCATCAATGATATGGACTACGCCATTTTGAACTGGGATATTTGGTACCACAATTTTAGCCCAAACTGCCCCATGGCGAAATTGTCCATACCGTTCGTGCACTTCAGAGACCGCGTAGACTATCAGTATGTAATTAAATAGAAGTTAGAGGGAAATGAATAAAGATTTTATGGTATCGAATTTACTCAATAACTTTGTTATATGACTGTTACTGGAAATTATCGTTTGTAAGATGTTTTAATTATTGTGATTAATAACACGTATATATCACAAAATGCTATGAATGCTTAAAAATGTAGATATTATTAAGACTAATCCCAAAAAAAATTTTTTGCTCAAGTATAAAATAAAAAATAGTTTATGTAACTTACGGTCCCATCGTCCGGTTCGGTGATCAGTAATATTCCGCATACATAATCTTAAATCATAATTATCCTCAATAATATTGGATGAGAAACGTATCGATGGATAGTAGTGTATACCTCCATCATAAAGCCATGGATAAGTAAAGAGTACCCTATTTATACCCGTTACATGAGCCAGTAATACTTCACGGTCTAGGCGATTGCGATCTATTACCTGAAAAATTTTAAACTTCTCAAAATAACAAGAGAATCTGAAAATGAATACTATTAATTAACTTTATCACAAAGATCGCTTTAAGAAACTGAAAGATGAATAAGCATATAATGTTAAAATGCGATTTTATTGTTTAAATTTGAAGCATTCCTATATTTTTTGTTATTTTCCGGTTCACTCCAAGAAAAGAATACCTTCACTCAGTATTCTTTTATATTTGAAATGAGCATTATTAGAAGTTTAAATAAACAAATGTATCATACAATAACCTACAAAAAGTACACAGCGCCTACAAATAGATCTGTAGTTCGACAAAAATACTATTACATGCCTTCAAAAATGCTCGATTTGTAGGTAAAAAGAAAGTATGAAAGCCATTCCATCCCGAACTGCCGAAAATTGCCAACGCAACATCCGGTACACGATCAAGTACATCTCTCAATTCACTGAAACAAGTTTATAGATGTTCTTATTT